CTTCCCCACACCATTTACCAATTTAGTACCCTTTTATTTCATTTCCATGATAACTTCAGCCAGTAACAGTTTCTTTTTCTCGATATATATCTGCTTTCATGGTCGGAACACTATCTTCTGTTTACAATACTCGTGCCTTATTTTATTTTATTATGGTCTGGGTGTCATTATTGAGAAAGAACAGGAAATTGATTGAGAGGGGGGGGGATGTCGACCCAAAGTGGATAAATACAATCAGTTGACAAATTAACAAAGATTTCACTCAAGATCAAACCAAAAAAAAAACCCCAAAAAACCACACTCGTAACATCTAAATAAGAAAATGAGAGATCTCGTTTTGTATTAGTAAGAGTTTTATGGCACTTGTAACACAACGAGGTCATATAAGTGCCGAAGATTAAAGGCGTTACAAGACAGAAACAAACATAAAACAAAAAAAAAGGAGGAGAGATTAGGACGACAGATGTTTGATAGCAAAGAAGGAGCAAACCACATCGGAGCACACACCATCCACACATCAGAGCACACCTAACCCACCCACTGAGACTAAGATCTTGTAAATATGTCATAGATCACAGGCTATAAAGTACATATCCAGAAAAATGCAAATGAACAAATGCAAGCTTACCTGCATGAGATCATTCTTCTCCTTCTCCCCCTGCGACAGCCGAGACTGCAATTGACGTATCTCCGACAAAATCCGTTGCGCTTGTTCCAAACTATATCCTCCAGAGATGCTCGACAACTTCTGGCCCACACTGACGACACAAAAAATGTCATATGAGAATAATAAGATAACATTTGTAAAGCACAAATCCCTGTTCAACAGCAAGCTTTACAATCTATATTATTACCAACCCCAGCAGACCTGATATGGCATTCTGAAACAATCTCAACTTCCCGAGAAGCATGGATAAAAGTAGTTTGCTTACAATGGGTTACCAAAAAACAAAAAAAGGAGATATATATAGTTTTAGTTTGAGTAAGAGTTAGTTTTAGTAAAAGTTTTATGGCACTTGCAACACAATAAGGTCAAAGAAATGCTAAAGATTAGGTGTTACAAGAGAGTAACAAACATGAAAAAAAGGAGGAGAGACAAGGAAGATAGATGTTTGATAGGAAAGAAGGAGCAAACCACACGAGAGAACCGGGTAACCATACACTGAGTTAAAGTTTTACCACACTTGCAAAAAAATAGATCGTGCAAGTGCCAAAGATTAGGTGTTACTACAGGGTTTGTTTTTGGGGGGTTTTTTATGTCAGTGTTTTTATGCCCCCATCAACACAAGATAATTTAGAAGACGGGCTTCTGACACAGCCTGTCAAGGCCAACCGGCGCTGAGAGGGAAACACAACTAACACACAAGCAGACAGACACGAGATACTCATTCATTAAAAATTCTCCCCATCAGGGAGCTGAACTCTGGTCTCCTGCATGTGAAAGCAAAGCGCCTAACCGCTAGACCACAGATGCAGTTATTACTGGAGAGTAACAAAAAAAAAAAGAAAAGGAGAAAAAAGTTGGAGGAGGAGAGATAATGCTGAAGTAGACTTTGATAGGAAAGCAGGAGCAAACTACACCAGATCATTCGCCAACCACCCACAAAAATGGGGTAAAATTGAATCCTCGAAGCATAGCCCAATCAAATTTGGACACAGCAGTGACTATCAAAATGCAATGAGGGAATCAAACTGACCAAAAAAAAGAGAACAAAAAGAAAGACACCTGGAGCATTAGTGACACCTCAAAACATTGTCATTCATCGTCGGCTGTTTCACAAGAAAAAGCACCTGAAGAAGGTCACTTCAGAAATTTTACACCCCCATCAATACTATTTAGATCATTATGCAGTCGGGTTACTTTGACCCTGACTGTCAGGGCCAACCTGAGCTGAGAGGGACACAACGTCCAGCAGAAAGACAAGAGATACGCAATAAAATTCTCCCCACATGGAAATGAAACTCATGCTTCCTGCAGGCGACAGTTAAGGGCCTATCCGCTACACCACAGATGCCAATAAAAAGCAGTTGCTACTTCCAATGTCCATGAAACTTCAGCAATAAGCACGGGCCGCCTTTCACAAATAGAAAGCAACAAGTGGGTGATTGGTGGGTGCTTCAGTTTGGTCTGCTACTTCTTTCCTATCAAACATCTACCATCCTGATCTCTCCCCCTTCTTTTGTGCTTGTTACTCTCTACCAACACCTTTGGCACTTATAAGACCTTATTGTGTTGCAAGGGCCTTAAAACTGTTACTAAAACTGCATGTAAATTTAAACAAATATTTAAAAAAACTAAAGAAAGCAATATACTACAACCTGCATGAAACGTATCTGAAATTGCTGCAGGCAGCCTAAAAAGTAAAATCATTTTCAAGCGATAAGACCCTCTTGAAAGTATATAAAAGTTTTTCACAACACTTCAAAAAGAAAAAAGAAAAACATACTTCATTGCACGAACAAGTTTGCACAACCCTATCCTATTCTGGTTTGCGTTGAAAGGAATGTAATTCAATTAGCTCTACGGAAATTCTTGGCCGAATTGAGGCCCTTTGCACTTTTTTGTGTTTGCGTGTGCAAGTTAGGTCCAGAGGAAGGCCAAAATACAGTAGTTTTAAAGACCATCTAGTTAAAAGAAAAAAATGACCATTTCAAAACTGGAATAACGTGTCTTCCCTTTGTTAACAGCACTTTATTCACATTAAAAACAAGTTATTTTTTTAAAATACAGCCCCTTTCTACATAACAAGATGGACAGCTGCTATCAGGAAATAAGAGTTGAAAATATTTTTAAAAAGGTGAAAAACTACCAAAAAGTATAAGAATAAGGCATAAATTCTTCTCCGTCACTTAAGCTGTACTATTCATGCAAACTTGTTTATTAAGACAGGTGCTTTTTGTTCCATAATAAAAGGTTCGTACAGTACTGTCATATAAGGCGAAAGCATAAATTGTGTCACTGTGAAACAGTTCACTATAATGTGAGCAACTGTTATCTCCGTTACATCGCTCATCATTAGGCGGCAAATAGCGAGACCAAAAAAAAAAAAAACCATGAGTAACAAAAAGCTCTAAAAGGCATTCTAAAAATATCTACCTCATCAAATAAATTATGAGTGTTGACCCTTTGCTTACAACTTTCCATTTTCTTTTAATTATCAGCTCACATGCTTTCTGTTACTAGTAATACACTTTTTTTAAGCACAAAACTCACACTCAAAACTGAGAAACATGATAGAACAATGAACATCCCAAACAACGAGTGAAATTATAGGCCTTCATAAGATTTTTTTTCAACAGCTTGCAGTTTTTCGCGCTCGGATTTCCCCAGTTCAAACTTTTGTAAAAACACTTGGCTCTTCAGAAATCTTGTGAGTCAGTAATACTTATTAACCCTTCCAGCACCAGCCATTTTTGTGCACTCCCTAACCCCAGTCCCAGTCAATACAGCAGTATTTCAGCTTTGTAATGAGGTTTAGATAATAACATGTAACAGTGTTTAAAGGTTAATGAACAAATATTATGAAAACTAAAGTTTAATAAGGTTCGTTAATTTTAAAAAATGTGCAAATCTGGTACCCCGAAACTGAGAACATACGCCCTTGTGACGGTGGGAGGTACAAGAGCTGCTGAAAATATACACGCTTGGGGCTGGCAGGGTTAAATTGCGCGGGCCTGGAAGCTGTCTACTTATACGAGAAATAGTAAATTATACATCTAAAAAACCCTGCACAGATAACACAAATTTACACATAGTCTTACCTGGACAGTGTTTCGACTCCTCGCTCCTGGTATGACATTTCAGCCCCTATTTGTTCCAGCTCTCTCTTGAGCCGAGCCACGCGGCTTTTGGCCAGATTAACATCCTGCTTTAGCAAGTCAGGATCATACTTGGTGCTGCCAACACTCGAATTGGAATTTACTGAAACAACAGAAAAGTATTTTTCATTACTAGTAAATGAAAAATTGTCATTTAAAAAAAGCGAATGAAAAATTCCAAAAATTCTTCCACACTAGAGTTTTGCTTCTTCAGAGATTATCTCGGTAACAACTCATTATGGTCCATTTTTAAAAAAATTCCCTTTTAATGTTAATGTTTCATTTATATTACTTCATTCAAGCGGAGATCCATATAAAGGGTGAAATAATTGAGGGACCAGTGGAAAAACTAGGTCCTCCAGTCAAAATGCAGTTCAAAGACAATAGTAAGAAAGCTCAAGACTGCAATTGTTATAAAAAAACAGAGACATTGACACCATTAAACCTTAAGACAGCAGACACCTACACTATCCCAGAGACACTGAGGGGGAAATTTTCATTGAATCTTTGATTTTAAACAAACTAAGGCCTGCACTCTTCTTTTCAAAACTCAAAGACACCAAACGTCGCAACACCAGATTATGTAACAAAGAACAAAATAACAAGTGGGACTGGTTTTTGCTGTAGTGTATGTGAGATAAGATAAGGCTCTCATATTCCCTATTGCCACATCCGGGACAGTCCGGGGAAATTCAGGACAGTTGGCAAGCCTGTAAACTACCAACCGAGCCTCTTTCAAAACTGAAAAAAAGATTTCCTCTTAAACATTTGACCCCATCACAGCACTGATAATTAGGTAGGTAATTTGGTAATGAATACATAAAACACAACAGCCTTGTCATCAAAGTAATTGAACGCCAGAAAAAGGAGGCAAGAACACGACATGCATGTACATGTAGACCTTTCATAATCCAGGAGACTCACATTGCACAAGGTACAACTTGTGTTTGATTCTCTCAACCAAGCATTCTACGATGTCTATAAAAACTTCTCCATTGGCGCTCATGTGACCTTATGCAGTTGCGAGCGCCGTAAAACCTCTATTAAAATATACTTAAAACTTCTTCCACACCATACCAATCTCTCAAAAGGAACTGTTCTCAATTCAAACAAGCACTGACACTTATATAGCACTCGACAGACACCATTTCCCCCAATAGAGCAATGCTCATAAAGCACACATAAGAGCATCACTGCACTTGCCAGATAGGGGGAAACAAAAGTTTGGGCTTTTCTTACAAGGATAACAGGGCAGTGAGCCAAGCTACCAGCACAATGCAGATGTAGAAGAAAAAAAAGCGATAGAAATGTATCCACCCCCCCCCCCCAAGATTATACACTGAACACGTGAAGTTACATTTGAAAGAATCATGTGAAGTTACATTTGAAAGAATCAGTGCTCTTTGTAAAAAAGAGCATTCTATCACCTACAAAGATACACCTCCCACATGAGTACTTTCACATATTATTTTCTGTGTGTATCATACTACCAAAACTCATTGGAGATTTTTTATGATATTAATTTTCCATCACAGCTTATGTCTCAGCAAAAACGTAGTGTAACTGCTCCCTTCAAAGTTGGTTACCAAATAATCCAATGAGTAAAGTTTCTACTCTTCCCCAAGGGAGAAATGAACCTGTATTTTCTGAATAAAACACCAAGAATATAGCCTCATACCATTCATAGTTGCTGCTGGCCATGATTATTTAAATGGACTGATCCCATCCTTAGAACAAACTGTTTCACCAATACCCATGTGACACTGTTATGGTGCAATTACAATTCATTCTTAAAATTACTATGGGATGCAAAACCTTTTTTTCACCAGCTATTGCTCGGGGGTTTCAAAACCTTTTTTTCACTAGTTATTGCTAGGGGGCTTTGCATCTATCAAAAAAACATAAATAAAAACTATAACCTTTTAAAATATGTTCCCATACTTGTTTCTAATGTATGTATTTTATTAAAATTTTGACAAGGTGTATTTCTATGGATCTCTGAGCTTGTTCCTTGCTACTGTCAATCAATGGTGCCACATCTTAATTCAAGACAGAACATTTAGCAAATTACACTTACAACTTGTCCTGGAGGACTTCCATCCTGACAATGTATCATTCAAATGCTGATATTCATCCTGAGCTAATAGAAGCCGTTGTTCTTTGATGGAGTATATCTCCTTCTTTGCCTGAAATTTAATAGAAGAAAAGGGAAAAGTAAAGGTAACATGGAAATTTTGTTTAATTTTTTGTTTAACGGAAGTGTCGAAGATTAGATTTTTTTTTTTGAGTAAGTGTTTTACGGCACTAGTAACACAATTAGGTCATATAAGTGCCAAAGATTAGAGGTGTTACAAGGGAGTAACAAACACAAAAAAGATAAAGACGATAGATGTTTGATACGAAAGAAGGAGCAAACCACATCAGAGAACCAGCCAACCACCAACGAAGATTAGATGTGCTACAAGAGAGTAACAAGCACAAAAGAAGGAGAGATCAGGACGATAGATATTTGAAAGGAAAGAAAAAGCAAATCACACCTTCAACATAACAAGAGGAGTTACAAAGAAGAGGGAAAAAGAAGCAGAGTCTGTGTGCTCGTAAATGATACTTATTACAACACAAAAATCTCTTCCCGATGCTTAGTACTTTCAATGCTTGTCGATTTTACTCAATCTTCTCCATCCCATTACATGGTCGAAACAAAACGTTTTCGACAAGATTCTATCCAAATTGGGCTACTATTATGACATAAATCTTGACGACGAAAAAAATTATTTTCCAAAACATTTCTCTTTATCAAACCTTTGACAATTTTCATTTGTTCAAGACACAGGATCAAAGCACTGCACTCCACAAGCAACAAAACACTGACCAGATGGTCACAAAAATTACAATCATTATCAAAACAACCCCGAAACTGGATTAATCAGACATTGCAGAACATACTTATTAAATCAATAAAACCATAAAACACTATCTTCTATGCAACAGTTTTGAGTCCTTAAGGGTTGCCTTGTCATCCTAGGTCAATTATAGCTGTTCCCACGCAATTTTCTTTGTTTTCAAGATCAGCTTCCACCATTCAGCTGGCAGATATTGAAAGTGGGTACCGTTTAGTACCAAATCCCTGAACCCAAATGTTTGATATTTTCCAGCAACTAAATGATGGCTCATTTGTGCCCTCAGCCCCCGTATTACAATCCAAAATAAGTTGAAACTGTTCCTGCATGTTTGGCAAAAACATGTATTAAAAGTTTATTTCGAAACCCTCTATTCTACAGCTTCATTTTTCTCTCTTTTATGCTTGCGACAAATCAAGACATACAAGCATCAAAACTGTGAGGAATGTGTCCATGGATTTGTCAAAGTCGTGTAATTGACCTTATCCTTGAGACATACTGAAGTACAAATACTTCCTACTTATCTGACAAAGAAGGCAAACGGTACATAAGAAGTCTCTAAATCACTTGAAAAAATTGACTGTTTCTAATGGAAAATTCTAGTTTAACTTATAATAGTATCCTACACCTCATCTCAGGAGCCAGGTTGCAATTACCAAAGCCAGTTGCCATTTCATACAAGCCTTCCATTTCATAGCTCCACACAAACCTACAGGATTTACCCAATCTACAGGGACGCCTATCTACAGCAACGCCTATTGCTATAAAACAAGTAAAACAAGTGTGTGTGCTAAAATTGTCTTAACACTTTGCGGTCACTTGGCACAATAAAGTGTCGGTGAAAATGATCCATTCCGGTCACCTGGCGCAGATCTGCGCCAGGCCCAAGAAGTCTGTTGCGGTCGCTTTCCAGGCTGAGTGACCAGATGGAGTATTTTGTACTGCTGGCTGTATTGCTGCAAAGTGTTAATATCAGTATCTTGTATATTACTATCTTGTATCAACTCCATCGCTTACTTATGGACAACTTCCTGAGCATTTCCCTTTATCAAAAATAGGTTGTAAGGCCTACGAGAAGGGGACTTCAAGCTGCATCAAACAAATGACAGGACTATGACATATTTCGTTTTGAAAATTTAAGGGACTATTGGTCACAATGAAGCGAAATGTATGGTAGCAAGCCTGCATCTAGAGGATTTATTTTAGTTTGGTTTGATTAAAGACGGGCACATCAACAAAACAGCAATCACCAACACAAGGACAAAGCCTGACTTATTGACAGTACCCAGTTTTTAATACATTTTGAAATATAAACTTTAATTTCAAGTTTTAAAAAAAAACTTTCAATTGCATCAAACAAGGTACAGGTCTCACCTCCAGATCCTCTTGAGCCGTCACCAAATACTCCTTTAACATGTGTTCTTGTTCTTGTCTCCATTGCACTCGAGGGTCCTCTAGCTGATTTATTTCTGATGAGCAATTGGGAAACAAAATTAAGGAATTATAATATAATGATAGTTTTCGGAGTTATGTGTAAATGAACCAGCATAAGATTTTTTAACCACTAAACGCTTCATGGTGTCTAGCAGATTCAACATCTAAAATCTTTCACAAGTTAAAATGTTACCAGTGACAATTTATAGAAGAAAAAAAAGGTGAAACTTGTCCAAGACCACCACCTCAAGGAAAGAGTGATCAATTTAGATGTGTGGTCCTTTTGAACGGTGTCATTATAATACAAAAATGCAGGGGGGGGGGGGGGAGAACTGGGAAGTGTTTTTTGTTAATTTCTTAAATCTTCTGGTATCAGATAGTCAGTGTTGAGAGAAGAATATCTGTTTTACAAGTGTGATATAACTTTGTTACATGTGTCACCTCTGCTTTTCCCAGATTTGACAGAGTGTAGGCAAAATTTCCTCCCTTATTGAAACCTGGAGCATTTTATCTTTCTTTGCTTGCCTTTCCCAAATGCTTGATATGCTTAGCATCTTGATTTCTTATACATATATTCAATTGTTCAGTTATTTCCTAAAACTTCAGTGAGATACATAAAAAATCAGTTCGAAGACAACTTGTCATGAATGTCTGTCCAGTGCACCTGTAAATAATAAATTATTATGTAAAATATGACTGAAATACCATGCTTAACACAGAAAAGAAGCTAACACTCCCATAATCCTGGTAAAAATGTGGCTCTGTTCTCTGTGTGGCAGGTATCAACATCAGCAGGTCTTACTTTTACTGAACAGGACAAGTGACACGTAAAACTACTATCTTCATTTTGTTCCATCTAGGACTTCAAAGTCATTGATAGGGTTGAATTCCGTTTGCTCAAAAGCTTTATGGAAAAAATGATGTTGTTAAAGTGACTTATTTATCATACAAGAATCTAGTAAATCTTCATGTGAATTCTTTGTTATCTCATAAACCAAAAGATGGAAATTCACAGACAAGAAATCCTTCAACTTTTCCAACCAAGGAGTCAATTCTTCTGATCATAGAAGACGGGAAGCATAATTTGAAAGGGATGATCAAACCACAGGATATAAAATTTAAAAGAATCAAATTTAATTATGTGAAAGAAGCAAAATGTATGACACTGAACTGGAAGAGAAAGTTGCTGCATAAAAAAAGAGAATCAATTTGGAAGAATCATTCTTTCAGAATATATAAATAGACAAGTTTGGAAAGGATGATTCAATAAGTTTCACCAGTGTATACTATCAGGCTGCCATTGAAATCAAACTGCAAACCCTCGTTATACTTACGGTTTATGTGGTTTATGTAGTAAACACCAACATTTGGGTCGTAGATCTCCTCCCATCCAAGGGGCAACTCATCTCCAACACAATCCGCAAAAGTCTGCGGCTTTGTGAATCTGTAATTTCAAAAAAAAATTTTCATTTTGATGGTACTAGAAAATATGAAGCAGTATAGTAGCAAATAACAACACAGCAGCTTTTGAAAAAGCTTCAATTAAGACTGTGCTGAAAACAGCTACTAAAAGGTGTAAAAATTGGGTCTTTTCTGAGTATCCTCCAACACAAAATTTGAGATATTATAGGACCATTACCCTAAGAGCACAAAATATCCTTAAGCTGATGAGGTGAGTACTTTAAATTTAACAAATCCCCAATGTTGACACACTACCTCCCCACCTCAACATTATACCGACTATACACCGCAAATGGAATTCATTTTGATTCATCCAGGACCGGCCTGATTTTCCTTCCTGGAGCAGCAAGAGCAACCATTCTGGCACTTTAATTCAACTGGATTCGGCTGTGACCTGCCCGTTCGTTTTTCATTACAACAGGAAAGTTGTTTTATATTCAGATTCTGTGAATTTTGATTGATTTTTGTTTGGCCTCTCTTTATACAACAAAAACAAATTTTGGTGCCAACAATGTTATTCTTCTATCACTATTCTATTCTTTGTCAAAATAGCTCTTAAAAAACCGACATCTCAGACACCAGAATATCTAAATCAAGAAAAAGCACAGGAGTACCATTTACTCATGTGAAACTGTATGGTACCCTTGTTTCGTTTCTTAGTACAGTCAAATCTAAGAGTAAGACCAACCTATCTAAGCGACCACCCGTTGCAAAGAAGAAAAGTGGCCCTTCTACACAGGAGGATGTCTTAGGCAGAACTGATTAAAATGAATAAATAAACACACCATTCCCTTCAAAAGTCATAGAGGCCCAGAGGTGGTCACAGACTTAGGACTGCCCTCCCATTAAAATGGATAAAAATGGATTTTTTTCCTTCTTATGGAGGGAGGTTGGGAAGAGAGGTTTCATGACTGCTGTGAATGTTAAATTCTACAAAGTTTATCATATAGAGAAAGACTGTGAAGTGCAAGGGTAAAAATACAGTGAAATCTGTTCCACAAAGAAGACCGAGTGCCACGAAATAAGTAAATGGGTTCCCAACACTTGGTGAGCGAGCTATACTTCTGTCGCAAGTTCATGTTGACGTTCATTGTTACAGACTGGATAAACAGACTTTTTTTTGGCAAGTGTTTTACGGCGCTCGAATTGCATAAGGTCATAAGAGCGTGCGGGACACATTAAACATTTTCAGTAGGTAGGAAATTTTGAATTTTGCGCGGGTGGCGGCTGAAACCTACTCTTATCGATTTTGGACCACCAAAGGATCTTTAACATGCGCAACTTGCACACGGGACTTCCGAGATTTCTCAACCTTGTCCGAGAAGGCTAGGTGTAGATCTTTCCTACCAAAAGATCAGGGGTGTTGCTGAAAGACAACAGTAAGAAGTAGCCAAGGAGTAGCAGCAGAAAGGCTGCAGAAAGAGTCAGCAGAGGAGGTGGCAAAAGAGGTGAGGGGGTGGGGGCAGAAAGTGGAGACAAAAGCAGATATGACAAATTGTTAGACAGCAGGAAAGGAGGACCTGTTGACAGCTCATCTCACTCATGATTTCTGTAGGTAGAGTTGTGGGTGGGGTTACTAGATTATTGGTTCATATGGTTACGCTTCCCTCACCAGCAGCCCAAAATTGGTTACTGACTGGTCAACTAGGGTTTGTAATCATGACCAGTTCATTAATGTAGAGGGGATACCAATTACAATAACAACACATGTGAATGGATTATGAGAAGGCTCGTTAATAGAGTCAGGAGCTGATTTATGCAACCTGGTCCTGAACTGCCCTGCCATTGCGAGCAGTGGTGGACAGAATAATTTAAGTAATTACACCACAGGCACTGGAACTAGCCAGTGTGAAAAAAAAATTTGATCAACAAACAGGTAAGACCTCGAATTTTTTGGTGATTTTAGCAGAGGTTTATGGTGCTCGCAACAGCATAAGGTCATATGAGTGCCAAGGGGTGGACGTCAACAGAGAAGTCCTTACAGAGAATCAGACTTTCTGCTCACCTCTCTAGCTTCAACAGCACAAGTATGCTTTGACAATCAAGGCACCCCGGAAATAGCGGGTCACAAGAGTGTGAAAAGCATACAAAACAAGTAGAGGAAAATGACGATAGTAAAGATTTGGAAAGAAAAAGAAGCAGTTCCCTGTTGTAGTTCAGGCACAGTTATGAGCATGACACAGTAGCCCATTTAAAATTTCTACTGTGCATTAGAACGAGAAATGTCCCCCCTTTGGGAATGGCCTAAAAACACTTAAAACAGTCAGTGGCACCGCCCCGAGGGGTACCTCGAATTTGATCTCCTGTGTATAACCCAAATCTGTCTCCTGATGGCAAAGCCGCAATTTCAAGTATTAATTAAAGAAGGTGGTAATAATATGTTGTTTGCTTTGCCTCCATTAGTTACCTGTGAAATGAAGTCATTTTTGTGCAAACACTTTGCAGTCACACTGCCAGCAGTACAAAATACCCCATGTCTGGTCACCCAGCCAGGAGAGTGACTGCAACGGACTTCTTAGGCCTGTGGCAGAACTGCACAAGGTGACCGGAACTGATAATTTTCAGTCGCATTACTGTGCTAAGTGGCCGCAAAGTGTTTTAGCCGATCCATTTCTGACACTAGCATAGAAACATTTGTCCTATTTAACAAGTTGTTGAATTTTACAATAAGGACAAAATTACACCAAAAAAAAAAGCAAACCCCAACCAGATAGACCGAAATCAGATGCTGTTAGAGGATGATCAAAGTCAAAGCCTGGCATATTGAGAAAGAAAAGCAACATCAAAAGCACACAGACAGGCTGAATACACAATCATACAGTGTGAAAAGCTCAACATGAAGATCAGTAAAAGCAAAACGAAGACCATGAAAATCAGCAGAACATCTGGCAACCATAACATCACCATCGACGGAAATCTGCTAAACAAGTCAGAGTTCAAGTATCTTGTGGTAGAATCTTTTCGGAAGACAGACGTCTCCACAGAGAAGTTGAGACAAGAGTACCAAAGGCTAACAGAGTATGTTAGCTAGCTACTAGTTAGCCCCACTCCTCAAACATCCTAACATCCCCCTTGAGACCAAAGCCAAGCTCATTAACTCCATCTTCATCCCCACCTTGACACCAGTGCCAGACATGGACCCTGACCAAAAGTTCAGAACGTAAGATAACCACCTGCGAGGTGAGATGTCTAAGGAGAGCCGTCAACAAAACCAGACGGGACATGGTCAGAAACAACAAGATCAGAGAAATGATGGGAACAACATTTAGACTGTCCTCCACTACATTCGAAGGCAAACAATCAGGTGGTTTGGACATCTCACATGTATGGCACCTAACCATCTTGCCAGTAAAGCCTACTACAGGAAAGTATCAGGGTACAAGGCAAGAGGAAGACTTGTGAAAGACCTGGATTCAGGGTGTGAAGGATACCCTGATAACATCCAATATTCCACCCAGCCAGGCCATCAAACTTGTTAGAGACAGGAAGCTCTTTCTCCCCTTGACACCCTAGAGGTACAAGAGGACGGATAAAGTAAAGTAAGTACTTAGTTCAAGTTCACGAAGACATTGCCCATTTATTTTTATTTACCTCACTTGTCTAAAATTAAACAAGGATAATCCAGTTTTCGCCCCATTGATGGGATATTATATCCGGTTTTGGCCCCAGGCCCAATGATACTATGGAGTATGGGTTTTGGCTCCACCGATCACTTTAAAATTTAAATGTCTAAACCATTAAAGGCTACTTCTGGTTCGAAACTATTACTTTGCGCCGTGCCTGCCGAAATGATGCGTAAACAAGAGAAAATATGAAACCTAATTGCGTTCATCAACTATGGTCAAACACAAAGGGGGTGTGTGCCCTGTAACCCCCCCCTC